TAATGGCATTTCATTTTGCATGAGAAGAACAACAAATGGGGGATTCATAATGCTTGTTATTCTTGGTGACTGCCTTAGAGCAAAGGGAACCCAGAGCCTGTGGATGTTATATTTTATATATTTTTCAAAGTCTGTTTCCAGGATGTCACCTTATCAGTGCATCATGGTTCTAACAAGCCTGTAGTTATTCCAGAAAAAGAGAAACAAAGGAAGAGAGAAAAAATTGCCTTCATTGTTGCTGTGGTGTCATTTGTGTGTAGATTTTTGTTTTTTTGAAAAGAAGACAGAAAACAGTAACAACTATTAGTGTTGGAAACACTAGGTACAGATCAGATGTTATCAGTACATGTACGTTTCTGAAAGCACTCAGAAAAAAAAAAAAAAACAGAAGTGACTACATGATAAATAATCCAGGAAGGTGACCTGTGGAGCCCAGCTGTGAAAAACAACAGTGAACTGTGCTTAACAAAAAAGAAAGAAAGAAAGAATTGCCAGGCACCAGAGCTCACACCTGTAAACCTAGCTTACTCAGGAGGCCGAGATCTGAGGATCACCACCAAAAAGCCGGAAGTGGACCTGTGGCTCCAGTGATTAAAATGCTAGCCTTGAGCCAAAAAGCTCAGGGACAGCTTGAACTCAGCCCAAGTCCTGAGTTCAAGCCCCAGGACTGGCATACACACACACACACACACACACACACACACATATACACACACACACACATTTGTTCTAAGTGCAAAAATTAACCAGGTACCAGTGGTTCACACCTGTAATTCTAGCTACTCAGGAGGCTGAGATCTAAGGATCAAGGTTGGAAGCCAGCTCAGGCCAGAAAGGTTAAGACTTTTATCTCCAGTTAATCATCCAAAGGTTGTAAGTGGAACTATGGCTGAAGTGGTAGAGTACCAGCCTTGAGCATAAAAGCTAAAGAACAGCACATAGTCTCTGTGTTTAAGCTTCAGTACTAGCGCACGTGTACGTGCGCACATACACACACACACACTAATTAATTCAAATAAAATAAAATAATTGTTGACAGTTTTGCAAGTTTATATCCACTTAGGGAAGTTGGGAAATTTCCAAGTTGGTTTGTTGACATTGTTCATAGTGCTAGGCATATAATGAGATGCCCAATAAGCATTTCTTAAATGAATCTAACACTTCTAGCATACTTTTTATGTTCACGCTCTTAGAATCTTACAATTAATCTAACCATCACAGAAGCTCTGTGTATTCAGTATTGTTATTCCTCTACTTTTCAAAATGCAGAAGAACACAAAAGTCTTGAATAACTCACCCAAGATTGTGCAACTAGTGAACAGAGACAGCCCAAAGGGTTCCTAGCAGCGTAATGAGACTAGGCCATGCCAAGAACCCAGTTAAAGTGATCGCCACCAATTTACAATCTTGGTGTTGAGAACTGGTGTACAGCATTATCTGGGCCAGCCAGGGAAGAATCTAACTTCCTCTTTGCTTCAGTATGTGCATAGTGTAGCACCTCCTGCTAATAAAACACAATGTTCCCAAATCGTGATACTCACCAACTCAATGCAGTGTTATCTGCCAAAAAAGGAATGCCCAAACCAGAAATCCAGCCAATGGGTAGAAGTTTCTCTTCTGTTAAAAATCGTGACTCCTGAATGCTTTCTAAACCTTTGACGCCAACTGTGACTTGGCAATACTAAAATAATCTGATAATTATGCTTTGATGTGATTTGTAGTATGGTGTAAATTTATATATTCAGGAATCTGAAGGTGATTTAATGTATATTTTTCTAATGTTCAATAAAGAACCCATAAGGTGAGCCAAACCTTCAAAAATAAGTGCATGTGGACATGTTCTGATGGAATCAATGGAGATCAATTTTGGTTTTGGTTTTTATTTTGGTTTGGTTTTGTTGTTTTGTTTTTTATGTCTGTGCTGGAGCTTGATGAAGGGCCTGGGCATTCTCCCTTAGCCTTTTCACACAAGGCTAGCACTCTACCACTTGAGCTACAGCTCCAATTCCAGCTTGTTGGTGGTTAATTTGGAGATAAGAGTCTCAAAACTTTCTAGCCTGAGCTGGCTTCAAACCTTGATGGTCAGAACTCAGCCTCTTGAATAACCAGGATTACAGCTGTGAGCCATTGGCACCTAGCATTTTTTAAAATGATTTATCTAATCTTAAAGGTGGGACATCTGTAGTTGTACATTATATTTTCCTGACTCCTCCCCCCCCAAAAAAAAAAGAAAAAGGAAGGAAGGAGGTGAGAGGAGAAGAGAGAGAAGGAAGAGAAAAAGAAAAAAAAAAAGAAAAGCACTTGTCTATGATTTCCTGTGCAGTACTCTGAGACATTTGTCAACATAATCACGGTCAGTATCGATAGTTAGCCAGGCTATGTGCGGCTCTGTAGAAATTGTGACCAGATATTTTCTACAGGTAGGAACTCCTAGAAATGAGAATACTTTGAGTCAAACATCACACAGAGGAGTTGAACAGCCAGTGCCTGGAGTGGAGGCCTGTCTGTGGGCCTCAGATATTTTCCATACACATAGAAACACGTACTTACCACTCCGAGACCCCCCCACACTCAGTGCAGGCCCCAAGATGGGACTCTGGGCTGGTTTGGAGCATAAAACAGGCACAGGTGTACCATTACAATGTCACAACAGAGTTTTGAATGGAAATTCTCATGCTGTGTAGGTGGAGGAAGTGTGGCTGGGAACATGGTACTCGCTGCATGAGAGATTTTGATTTACTCTTCTTTATCATCAGAACCACCTTTGAGGTGGGGATTATGATGCTTGAGTTTTTAGAAAGATTTTAGAGTGATTTGTACCTTGCCCAAAATTCCATAGTAGGAAAATGGCAGCCCAGGACACTTGCATATATTGTCATGGTTCATACACTTCCCCCTCTCCTCCCCCCCCCCCGCCCCGCTCTACCTTACTGACATAATACTGATGCCAGGAGCCTGTGTTAGGACCCACTGGGCCACCTTTCCCCACAGGGGGAAACATCAATTTTTTTTATTCCTTAGCTCATGGGAGAGACATTTTCTCTTCCCTCAAGGACAACAGCCAGCTATTTTGTGCTAGCAAAACTCATCAGTGTATTACACTTTGAAAGTTAGAAAGTGTTCCACTCATCCGATTTTATCTAACAAGCTGAGAAAACAGAGGAAATTAAAACAATGTAGCTCAAGTATTGTTAATGATAGCCTGGTGCCAGTGTCTCATGCCTATAATCCTACCTACCCAGGAGGCTGAGATCTGAGGATCACACAAAGCCAACTCAGATAGGAAAGTCTGTGAGACTTTTAGCTCCAATTACCAGCAAAAACAAAACAAAACAAAACAAATGGAGCTGTGACTCAAGTGGTAGTGCATCAGCCTTAAGAGAAAAAGGTAAGGGACAATGCCCAGGCCCTGATTTCAAGCCTCAGTACTAACATACACACTCAAATATATGTATGTATGTGTATATGTATGTACAAATGTGTCCAAACTCTTAAAATCAAATTCAGACATTGGTTCTGTTGGTCTTTTCTATAATGGTTAAAACAAACAAAAAAAAATACCTAAAGGCTTTAAGCTATGAAAATAACCAAGATTCCATACAACCAATGAGTGGATCAAGAATGTGACATATATGTGAATACACACACACACACACACACACACACATAACAAAAATATTATTCAGCCATAGAAAAGAATGGAACTATGACATTCTTAAGTCATTCTCCAGGGATGGGCCTGGAAAACATCGTATTATGCAAAGTAAACCAAGTTCACATGGACATGTTTCATTTTCTCTCTCATATGTGGATATAAGACCTAAAATATAAGCATATATGTAAGCAACATACAGGATCATATGCATACATAGATCAAAACTAATTAAAACATGGCATTTGCAGATGTGAGGTGCCATGGTGAAATCTCTTTGGACAGTTAACAAGAAGAGCATTAAGAAGTATCTGAACTTCTTAATGGGTGTGTGGGGCAGGTAGCTGGAAGGGGCGGGCAATGGATACACAGAAGGAAAGTGAATATGGTCAAAATAACCTAGGTACATGGGTCAAAACAGAATAGGGACACTTGATGAGACTGGTTGGGGAAGAAGAGGAGGGAGAAGGATGGAAGGGGCCATGACGATGTACTGTTTCCATGAATGGACAGGCTAAAATGAATCGCTTTTGCACACTAATTGATGCTAAAAGTAAATGAATTAACCAACAAATGAAAGTGCTCATGGCTCAAACAAGACAGACAAGAAGAAAGGCTTTCTAATTCAAAATAATTAAATATTGCCCGGCCTACCTAATTATTATAGTGACATCACTATAGAGATTAATTGGACATTCTGGTTATTTTTATTGAATGTTCATACTTTAAAGGCAAAAAAAAAAATCAAGCCATGTAATTTTTTCAGGGTCAAAATGACCCAAAATGCAACCATTGCCATTTGGTAAGTATTATTGTCGGCATTTCTTGTAAATACAGTATTACGACATTTATTGAAATCATTCTTCTGGAGATTTCACATACGTAACATGGTCATGGAGTCTTCTAGTCTCCCATTTTAAAGACCCCTGTTTGGGAACTCTTGTTTTATAAAGATCAATTTTCAAGGAGAAGTAGCTCCCCCTTGTGGCACTGTGGAGTATAGTTATCAACGACTTGGGATCATGTTGTGTTTTTGCAACTGACTTTGCCAATGATGTCAGCCTTGGCATTTGTCCAGTGAACTGAATGGAAGCCAACATATTTTTTATTTTTACAGATAAGTTTGAAATGTTAGATAACAGATCTGGCGATAGAATTGAATTTTCTAATCTATCCACAGTGGACGCAGATCTGATAGGTTAACAGTCCAAATATGGTTATTTTCTGTAAATAACCTCCCAATACCTGGAAGTTTTTACTGAATACAGTAAATGGGTGGGAAGGAATTTGTTTTTCATGTAAAGGAACACCTTTTGATTGATGCTTTTTCTCTTTCTCTTCTATGCAGTATATAGTGGAATGTCATGGGATCACACTTCTTCCCCAGTTCTTGGGAATGTACCGGCTTAATGTCGATGGAGTTGAAATTTATGTGATTGTTACAAGAAATGTGTTCAGCCACCGTTTATCTGTATATAGGAAATATGACTTAAAGGTGAGATCAGTTTTATTAATTTTCACCAAGCGACTCAAGCTTGCTCATCCACATAAATGATGTAATTGATCGTATGAAATGCTACAAGTAGGGGGTCCCAGAGCTTAAAAGTACCAGGAAGCTAGTGCATACCTCTTCTGGTTAAACAATTAATGCTGGATTTATCAAGACACCTTTATATATCAGAGATAGCGTGTTTGTTTATTCAACACTGGCTTCTTACCGGTCTCTGTTGTGGGTGCTGGTGAATGTAATGAACAAAATAGACTGACAACCTGTACTTGCACAGGGGCTGACATTCCACTGGGTAAAGGCAGACAGTAAATAGGGTAATAAATAAGTCCTCTAGTAAGTCAGGGAAATGATATATCCTATAGATGGAAATACAAGGGGGAGGGGTAAATATAGTTTAGGTATCAAGCAATATTTATCTGAGATGACATTAGAGCAGACCTGACTTGAAAAAGATGATGAGGAGCAGAAGAGAAGTAAGTACATGAGACCCTGAAACCATCCATGTCAAAGACTTTGGAGTGAAAAATCTACCTCTGACAGTTCTGAAAGAAAACCAGCATATTCTGAATTCCAGCATCTCTGATTCAAGAGCAGAATGTCCAAGTTAGAGAGTTGCAAACAATATGATCTGCCTCCAAAGCAAATCCATTGAAGACCTACAGTGCTATTGGAATACTGATCTGGTCATTCTTTCTACATTGTCCAGTGCTGCTTTTGAACTAAATGGCCAAGTTGAGTAGAAACCTTAGAGACTTTTTTTTTATGGAGCACAAAAATTAGTATACTTAAAATATTCTCTGACCCCTGAAAAAATAGATGCACCTCTGGTCTATGGCAGATCATTGTGTAGTTTTTTTTTTATTCACAGAACTCTTTCACCCTCATAAAAACAGGATCTTACCTGGTGCCAGGGGCTCATACCTATAATCCTAGCTACTCAGGAGGCTGAGATCTGAACATTGTACTTTGAAGTCAGCCTGGACAGGAAAGTTTGTGAGACTCTTATGTCCAATTAGCCAACAAAAAGTTGAAATGGAGCTGTGGCTCAAGTGATAAGAGTACTAGCCTTGAACAAAAATGCTCAGGAATAGCACCTAGATCTTGAGTTCAAGACCCAGAATTATCACATGAAAAAGAAAGGAAAGAGGGAGAGGGAGAAGAAATGAAAAGAGCACCCTAAAAAGTATTCCCTCACATTTATGGATATTTACAATATTAGAAATTAATATTTATTTTATTTAAGATCATAAAAAACCATTGTGTAGGGAAGTTGGCTCAAGTAGTCAACTATCTGCCTAGAAAAACCATAATGTGTCAACATATTTTTATATAAAAGTAACTGTCAAAAGCAAAAAAATTAGTGAGACAAATGATACTGTTTTACATTTTTGAAACTCTGCAATGGCTGAATGAACATGAGAGGGTTGAAAGTTCTGATTCTGCTGTCAGTCATGATGTCATTTGATTGAAAATCTGACCTCACACAGATGAGGTAGTTGGAAAGGGAGAAAGGTGTTTGAATAGTTTTTTCAGATTGTTGTATACATATCTACCTTTGAGACTACACTAAAATGTGACCATTTGTAATTCTCAGACTTCAGTTCGTTACATTGTGGAATCTATATCAGTATTTTAGTGGGGGGGTAGTTTTTGTTTTGTTTTTGTTTTTATGTCAGTCTTGGGGGGGGGGGCTTGAACTCAGAGCCTGGGAGGTATCCTTGAGCTTTTTTGCTCAAGGCTACCACTCTACCACCTTGGCCACAACTCCACCTCCAGCTTTTTGGTGGTTAATTGGAGATAAGAGTCTCGTGATCTTTTCTGCCCAGGCTAGCTTTGAACTATGATCCTCAGAATCTAGTCTCCTGAGTAGGTAGGATTACAGGTCTGAACCACCAGCACCCAGCTACCTTTTAGTGTTTTTATTGGTCTGTTGCTGTGTTGATGGCACTGGTCTGAGGGTGTGATTTTCCACTCTTCTGCTTCTCATTAGGGGCATAGGGCTTTCCTGAGGTTTGTAACTCTTCCAGATATTGGCACATTGCATTATGTAGTATCAAAACATCACATTAGTATCACCACCAGTCTCATCAGGAAAGTCTCCTATGGATTGGGAAACTGACAAGCTCCCAATTCTGCTTGTACTTAAAAGCTTTTTATCATTCACTGGCAACAAATCCTATCGGTTCTTTTGTGAAATGACAGCACACAGAGCTCAAGCACGTGTCTGTGCTCATTCTTGAAGAAGTATTTGCCAATTTCTCAGATCTGAACAACTATAAGTTCTCTGTTGTTCTTTCAAGTAAAAAAGTTGGTCCGTGAAAAAGATGGCTATTTTGGCTCATAACTGCAACTGTCTCTTTGTTCTCTTTTCGGAAGTGCTGTTTGAACTCAGGGCCTTACGCATAATTATTAGGCAGGTGCTTTACCACTGAGCCACACCTCCATTTTTGATTTTTTTTGAGATAAGGTCTTGTTTCCTGCCTGCGCTTGTACCTGGACTATGGGTTGCCTTTTTAAAGTTTTAATGCATAACTAAGATGACAGGTGCATGTCATCTTTTGTTGGTCCTGGGGCCTGAACTCTGAGCCTCAGCTCTTCAGCTCAAGGCTAGTGCTCTACCACGTCCAGCTTTTTTGGGGGGAGGGGGGGAGGGTCCAGTTGTGGGGCCTGAACTCTGGGCCTGGGCGCTGTCCCTCAGCTCTTCAGCTCAAGGCTAGTGCTCTACCACTTGAGCCACAGCACCACTTCCGGCTTTTTTCTTTTTGCTTATGTGGTACTGAATTGAACCCAGGACCTCATGCTTGCAAGGAAAGCACTCTGCCTCTGAGCCACCTTCCCAGCCCTGCCCAGCTTCTTTCTGTTGGGATGGAATCCTGTGGATTTTTATGCTCTGGCTGGCCTGGAACTCTTTGGTCCTCCTGGAACAATCTCAGCCTTCCACATAGCTTAGAATAGAGGTATATGCCATCACGCTCAGCTGTTAGTTGAGGTGGGGGTCTTGTAAATGTTTTGCTCAGGTTGGCTTTGAACCTCAATCCTCCTGTTCTCAGCCTCCCAAATAGCTAGGATTACAATAACAGGATCTATTGGTACCTGGCTTCTTCTTTTTCTTTTTGGTGGCCACCATCATCTTCTTCATAATTATTTGAGACAGGGTCTCTTTATGTAGCCAGACAGACCTCAAATGCTCAGTCCTCTTCCTTAGCCTCCTGAATAGAATAACAGCACCATGGCAGCTGCAGAAGTGGTTCTTAAGAAAAAATTCTTTCTTTATAAAATCAAGCAGAAATGTTTCATGTATACTTTCTGTACAGAATACTGAAGATGCATGCTCCAAGGTCAAAATTTAATTAAATTAACTCTAATTGCTTCCTCAAAGATATGCTCAAATCATGTTAGGGAAGTTACTTTATGTTATTGTTTTTAGTGACAAATACTACTCAATTAGAGCTGAGCTTCCAGCAGGTTTACCATAATTATTTTTACAATATGGCTGTTAATAGCAACACAGTGAGATGACAAGGATGAGTCCTATTATAAAAGTAGTGTTGACTGCAGAGCTCTGGAAGAGCCCTCAGGATTCTGAATCAAGTTCAGAGAAATGCTGGTCTAAGGGATGATGTGATCTGGGCTGATCTCCAGGCCTTGACCTCCCTGCATCCATAACATAGATCAAGCCAACATGTTCTGGAATTGTCCCTGAGGAAATCCCAGCCCCACTCAACGGCTCTTTCCTGATCTCTCTGTGGCGGTTCTCAGCACACACCGTGGAGTACTTTGGCACAGTCTGCTCTGACTGTCCCACAGCAGAGAGCCAGAGTGACATGTGCTGCTTTTGTGAACTTGTTAGCTGTGTGATTCTGCTAACGCTTTGTGAGTCTCAGTTTCCTCGTCTGTTAAAACAGGGATCATTTTACCTGAGTTTGTAGGATTGCTGGAAGGATTCAATGAAAGCAATTCAGGTCCCATCTAGCATAAGGCATATGGGATCCTCTTTACTAAAAGGCAAGCATTTTTATCCTACTAATTGTTTATCTCGTCAGAATGCCTACAAGTGGGTGTCTGATAAACATATCTAGCCAGATGCTAGTGGCTCACACCTGTAGCTACTCAGGAAGCTGAGATCTGAGGATCATGGTTCAAAGCCAGCCCAGGTAGACCAATCCAAGAAACTCTTTATCTGCAGTTATCAAAAACCACAAGTGGAGATGTGACTCAAATGGTAAAGCAAGCACCAGCTAAGCCAGAGCAGATGGCACTGATTCTAAGCCCCAGTACCAACACCACCCCCCAAAAAACTATTTAGATGTAAACTATACTAGCAGATTAGAAGTTATTGTTTTAATTTGCCTTGCATTTTATAATTTCATCTCCCTTTTTAGCTTGTAGGCTTAAATAATAATAATTGACTATGTTCTTGCCAAAGCTTTCGTTGAGACATACACTTGGCCTCATTTTGTGGCTCCAACTCCTAACTTTAAGTAATCTTACTTTTCTATGTTTATTGTAATTTTTTCATTTTATATTAACGTAAACTTGGGTAAGTCTCTCTTTTTTTTTACTCTAGGCAAGTGGTCTACATTTACATTGATTTGAAACGTTCCTGAGAACCAGTGATAGGGTGGCTTTTATTGAAGAAAGGAAAACACACAAAACCCAACAATTTGGTTGAGTATACACAGCAGCACAGTGATCAAATGTATCAAATGGGTCCCGTCACCCTTTTTTTCCCCTCCTAACTTTGGGGATGGTGTTAGTAATCACTGCATAAAGAAAGGCATTCATGGTCAACATTCAGGCATCCCAGAAGGGAGAAAAGTAGCCTATTTCGTTGGAGTGGCTGCTATCTTCATTTGGCAGCTCAGCTTTGGGCTCCTCGGGCTTGTTGCCAGGAAATTCTGAGCATGTTCACTGGGCCACCAGGACCCCCACATACCCCTCACCATCCCCCCAAGCACAAGGGATGGGGAGAACTGTGGGATTCTACCCTTCTCTTGTCCGTTTCTCTAATATGAGAAGATTCTTGAGGCTGATGTTTTGGTATCTGTACATGTTGAGCCACATGGATCTTTACCAACACCACAGCTGCTTAGTGAATACTGGCAATGGTGTGAAAACGTGGCTCTCTGCGATTGGCTATGCTAGAATCTACTTCCATTTTCATTTCAGGTCAAATCTTAAGTGCCTTAATGATTGGCTGATTTAAGTAGTTGTGTTGAGAGGTGGCCAGGTTAACAAATACCTACCTTCACTGGCTTCAGCGTAGCTCAGACCTCCTCCCTCTGCTGAGGCAGGGGGACTAGGAACTGGGCTATGATCCTTTTCCAAGCACTTTGGTACATACCAAGCATCTGCTGGGGATATGACTTTGTGATGGAACATAAAAAATAAACAATGACTGTTATATTAACATATTTCAGAATCTTCTGGACCAGTTTGTTTTCTACTGTTTCTTTTGAATTAAAATCTTCCACAAAAAGTTAGATCTAAATTATGAACATGTATGAAAACATACAGAGCCAAGCTCTGGTGGCTCACACCTGTAATCCTAGCTGCTCAGGAGGCTGAGATCTGGGAATCACAGATAGGAAAGTCTGTGAAACCCTTGTCTCCAGTTAACCGCTAGAAAACCAGAAGTGGTGCTGTGGCTCAAAGTGGTAGAATGCTAAACTTGAATGAAAAGCCCAGGCCCTGAGTTCAAGTCCCACAACTGACAAAAATAAAACAAAACCCATATACAGGCTCATTGCATATAGGCACAAATATATTAACTAAAGTATGGGAGATGCAGGGGAGGATTCCAATGATGTAACTCTTCTGAATAACTAACTTAAAGTTTAACAAAATAAATATCCGGAAGGTGTGTTATCGAGGTGTAGGAGGGAGGAGATGGTTGAGGGAAAGACAGACAAATGGAGAGAGGAAGAGTAAGGCAAATGTAATCATAATATTCAATGTGCATATGTGAAAATGGAGCCAGGTAACTTGAGGGGAAGAATGGGCTTGGGAGCGATGGAGAGCGATAGAGGTGTTGATCAAGATGCATTATACTCATAAACTGACGCGTGGGATTGAAACCCCTTTGTACAGCTACTTACAGATCATTTGATAAAAGTAAAATAAAATCCTCCCCACAAAGGAAATTTTCTCTGCTTGAAACGAGAGCTTCCTCTACCTCCCTTTCAGCATTGGAGGTAGACTCCGTCTTGTACAACCCAGAATGAGGTTGGTTTTGAAAACCTCTGCAGTAGATGGCACCCTGCTGAGATCAAGGGCTGTGTTTTCTCTGTGCTCAGCATAGGGCTTGGCACAAAAGAGGTGCAGGTCCGTGCGTGTCTTTGAAGGAGTCTCCGAAGTAAAGGGGGTCAGAAAGTGCTCACAGGGGACTTGCCTAGAGTATCAGAGGAGAAACTGCCCCTCACTACGTCTCACAGGGAGGAGAGAGACAGGGGTAGAGAGAAGGCACAGTCTAAGGACCGGGGCAGGCTCACATCTGGAGAGATGACATGAAGAAAGGGACATTTGATCCCCACAGCCAGCTATGACTCGCTTCCCCCATTTCTGGCAACTGATGTAATTTTGATTCAGGATTAGTAAGCTTATTACTCAAGTGGTGCCAAGTTTTCTGATTTCTAGCAGATGGCTAGAAATTGGCCAATGACAGGACAAGTGAGTGCAGTCTGCTCAACCAGACATATGATAAACAATGGCATTTGTGTGTATATTTTTTTTAATTACGATTTCTTTGCATTTCAGGGCTCGACAGTGGCTAGAGAAGCTAGTGACAAAGAAAAGGTAAGCACCCTGGCATGCCCTCATTGAACTCTAGGCTGGCACAGTATGGGACTTTTCCTTGCCCTATCCCTGGCCCCAGTGAGAAGTGCATTTTTGAGCCAAGGAATGCTCTTTCAGTTTCCTGCCTCAGATTGCTGACATGGCTGGAGAATGTGAATAGATACAAAGAGACTTGAGGAGGAGAATGGACAGAACTCAGAGATGGGAAGCAGGAAGTCACTAGAGCCAGGGCGTGTAGATGGAAGGTTCTGGATGACAGCTACATCTCTTGGGCGGTTGGCTAGGGGTTCATTGCATTCAGTGACATAGGAAACAATGGAAAGAGTAGTTTGGGATGCAGGTGTGACCACACCAGTGTGGTGACAGAAGTGTCCTGGAGACATCAGTTGTTGAACACAAAGGGTTCTGGAAAAAATATGTTTAGACATCACCCCCCAACACACACACACACACACACACACACACACACACACACACACACACACACACCTTCTAGAATGATGATCAGCAGGCAGAGCAGTGTATGAAGTGACCCAGGGAGAGAGCGGAGAAGCATGTCTAGCAGCACAGACTGGAAGAACGTCACTGTGGGAGGAGAGGTCAGACAGTGTCCTGCAGCAGGTTAGCCAGAGCTAAGTGCTGAGCATGACAATCTGGACTCTTTGCTCCAGTATTTCTTGGGACATCCACAGCAAGGGAGCATTTTGCCAAGCATTGTAGGAAACACCTGGGGAACAAGACCAACACTGTCTGTAGAGTCTCGTGCACACCAATGCTAGACACCAGAGGAAGAGAGCTTTCCAAGAGCCAGTACTGCCTCAAGGCCAAGTAGGCTGAGGACTATTGTCCTGTGGAGTTAACAACAGGGAAATCCCTGGGGACCTGGTCCCTGAGGACAAGGAGGACCGAAGCCATATGGGAGTGGGTAAAGAAAGAGGAGAAAAAAGAAACCACAAGTCTTTCTCTAACCGTGTGTGTGTGTGTGTGTGTGTGTGTGTGTGTGTGTGTGTGTGTGTGTGTGTGTGTGTTTTGTCTTTCAGCTTCGGACTATACATTTCATTATTATCTTCAAGCAGTTGTACAGAGGAGTTGCCACTTAACAAAACAGTTACTTTTTTTTTTTTACTGTGTATTAGTGAATGTATATTTTTACACTTCAGCCTCTGTGTAAGCCACCTGACGTTCCAGCATTAGCCCTGAGAAGCAGTGACAATGACTGCCCATTTCCAGTAAACTTTCCTTCCCAAGAGAAAATATCTTTAAAGGGCCACATGTGTGCTCCTCCACAGTCCCAGAGTGAGACCCAGTAAGGAGATAGATGCACCTACTCCACATGATTGCTGTTTTTTTCTTTGTTTCTCATTGGACTACTGCCAGCAACATCCTTTTCCTCACTTGGTTTGGATTTCTTCAGGTTTAATCCGCACTCCAGTGACAGTTGTGACTATTGGCATGGTGGCTGTCAGAGCCTGAATGATCTAACAAGGATGTGTAAGAGTGCTACTCACAAATACATCGACAAGCTGTAGCTGCGATGTGTCTTTTGAAGCAGTAGGCACAGTTCATCCTATGGGTGATGCATCCATGGCATCACCTGCTTTCTAGAACAAACCCTCTTAACCCCTCCCTCCCTTAATAGTTCCACTGCCGTCCTTGCCAAACACATTCAGCTCTTGTACATGCTCTACGTTGGTATAGGTTTCTGTAAGATACAAGTATTTGTTTAAGCGGATACTCTCCTGAAGTCTGCGAGGCTGCTTTCTCCCAAATCTAACACGACTGACTTCCCACATTAAAAATTCAGCTGCAGTTTTCCCAGAAGCCTCACAGAGCTGGTGGCAGAGGAGAAAACCTTACCTTGACCTGGGTTTGATGTATCGTTAGTGTGAATGTGCTGGGAACTATCAAGCGAGGTAATAATAACTGACATTTGTTGAGCACAAACTATATGCCAGACACTCTTCAATTGTCTGTGACTGTGGACACATAGCACTTAAAACCATCAGAGGATATGGAGGCAATGGTTACTTCCTTTGTGTAGATGGAGTTATTTCACAGATGGATCAGTAACTTGTCTACAGTCCCAGAGTTACGAAATGATGGGGCTAAAGGTCAAGCCAGGTGCTCCAGCACCAGAGGCTTCATTTCTAACCGCTGTGCTGTACTGCCTTCCAGATGCTTGGTGCTCTTTCTTCCTCCCACGTCCTCCTTTTCTTTCCTACTCCCTTTCTACTTTCTTTTAAGGACATATAAAAAGTTCATATTGAGGCTTGGATGGTAGTACATTCCTGTAAGTTCAGCACTCAGGAGATGGAGACAGGAAGATCCTGAATTTGAGGCTAGGTTCTAGGCCTTAGCACAATCTGGTCTCAGAAACAAGAAGAAGTTTTTTTTTAAATCATCTTAATTCATTAATCATGAAAATGAGGGAACATTTACTACAGCCACAGAAATGCTGTGTTGAGTTTTTAAAAAGCAATTGAACTATTTCGTTTCATACCATGTGGGCAAAATGACCCATTTGTATTTCTTCCATTTGAGCTGTCTGAGCATTTTCTACATTTCAAGGGTATGTTTTGGCACATTTCGTACACACAGTCTTTGCCTCTGTGTATTACACTGTGAAAACATTAAAATTGTCATCACTGTTACCCTAAGGGAAGGCCCAGGGCTTGGTTCTTACCTGAGGACTTGGAGATTTTGAAACCTCATCTTTTAGAAGAGCTAAAAGCCACCCCTGTGAAGGCGGAGAAAATAACTATCAGGTATGAAATGTATAAGTAATAAAAAAAAACTGATTATCAATGAAGAGAGGATGTAATGTCTGCTCTCTCCTGCAGGAGAGCTTGTGTATCATCTGTAAACACTTATAAAGTGGAATAGATTAAATAAATTGGATTCATGAAGCAGAGCTCTTGAAACACATTGAGTTTTAAGCTACCAGGTTTCTTTGCTTTCCTTTTCCTGCCAACTTTTTCATGACCAGTTTTGACTCTTCCAAAAGAGCGGAGCATTCTTGGTCTCCACAAAGAAAGCTGTAAATGCTATCAGAAGGATGACTGCTACCTCTACTTTGAAGTGCTTGGAGAACACTAAAAATACTCATCCTCCTCCATTTTAGCCTTTTAGAAATAAGGCAAGAAAAGTATTTCCATTTCAATCACAGTGTAAGACACATTTCAGGAAGAATTGCCACTGACACGGCTTAACTATTCACCTCCATGCTTTCTCTTCTTTGATTTTCTTTCATTGGAGCCATTATTTAATTCTCCATACATTTAACTTGTTGATGACAAGTTTTGAAACTGTCATTTCAAATATTTAGTAATATAGGTGCAGACAGGTCCCATCCCCCAGATTTCATTCTTGACACATAATTAGCATGATTTGCATTAGCATAATATCCTAACAATAATGGAATCGCTTTCATGGCAACAAGTATCAGAACATGCATGTACAGATGTCTTGAAATTTTTTTTTTAAAGAGCAGAAGAGTGCTTTCCTTTTTTTTTTTTTAAACCATTGTCAAATGCTGACAGCTGCTATGACTTGTTTTATTCCTTAATTCTTTGCTTTTTTAATGGAAGGGCATCTTCCATTCATGGCTCCAGCAGTTTCGGCTTCTCTAAATGAGACAGAGAAATGCGAATCTCCCTGGTGGTCGATCTTTTCACAGCTGCACAGCAATTCCAGTGTGACATCAAATTAGTAATTATAGCTGAGCGGACTGCTTTTTACAAATGACAGTCTTAGCATGCCGCCAGCTAGCAAGCTACTCAGCAGGGAATCAGGGCAAGTAAAAGAAAACATAACTGCACTCACTTGATCTCTGGGGGATTTGACCTGACTCTAAAAAAAAGAGAGAGAGAAAGAGTGTGTGTGTCCTGGGGATTTACACAAATATGCATTTTGTACATCATTCTGCACAGTTCTTCTCCAAACGCATGTCTGATTTTATTAGGTAAAAGAAAGTCTGTATAATGGAGTCGTAGGGTCACAATAAGGAAATAAGGAATACAGCCATGAGTTCTCTCTAGGACCCATGAAAGAAAACAGCTGCCCTGCAATTGGCATTTGTGTAACTATATTGGCAATAATCACCATTGACACTTTGACGATGGGCTACAAAAAGCTGTCTTGTAGATTCTTAGGCATTGTGAATTGTACTGGCAATTAAGAGGCTGGCTTGTCTGCAGACATTTTACCTATTACTGAAGGTTTGAGAAAATCCATCACTAATACCACCTTTGTATCTTTTTTTTTTTAATGCTTTCCTAAAGCAGTGTTCTGCATTTATTTCATGATCTTTAAATTGTCGTGAATTCTAATGAATGACCACCTCTAGGTGGTCCTTTGGATTGCAAAAACACATCCATGTTTTCCTAAAATCTCTCTTCAGCCCTTCCTTAGAAAGGGCCTTCCAAGCCAGGTGGTGGTGGTTCATACCTGTAATCGTAGCTATCTTGGAGGTTAGGATCTAAGAAGTGCAGTTCAAAGCCACTGGACAGAAAAGCACACAAGATTCTTCTTTCCAATTAACCAGCAAAGAGCCAGAAGTGGAGATGTGATTCAAGTGAGAAAGCATCAGACTAGGAGCAAGAAGCCATGTGGGAGAACCAGACCCTAAGTTCAAGCCCCAATGCCAAAATGAGAGAGAGAGAGGGAGGGATGTTATCACTGAAAAAACTATATCACTGATCCACATCCCCAACTTCAGCCCCAGTTCTTAAAGGCAGCAACAGTAACTCCTGCTTTATAGACCAGATATGTTTTATGAAAGGAGAGGAGGTTGGGGGTGCGGGGGGGGGCAGGTAGGTACTGGAGCCAAGGAATCAGAAGAAAGGGGAATGCCATTATTGGAAGTAAAGGAGCTGGAGTTCAATCATTTATAAGGCTAATGGATTTGTTTGTTTCCTTGGTTCTTACACCTTAGTGTTTGTGAGAATCTTGTTCCGATCATGCCTGGACTCCAGAAATTCTTTTCAGAAGTTGACCTCACT